GAGCACAAGCAGACTCTCTGCTGAGCAGGGAGCCAGATGCAGGGCTCCATCGCAGGACCCTGAGATCATGACCTGAGCCCAAGGCAGATGCTTAACTGACTGAACCACCCAGGCGCCCCGAAGAGTGGGTTTTTTAAATGCTCTGAAGCGGGCAGTGCTGAGACAGGACCCTAGATCCAGGAGGGCCACCTCCCTCAGAAGGCACAGGCATCCCACAATCACAAGGCCTCCCTTAGAATGGGAAATCTGGGTCCCCAAAGGGACACAGGGGCCTAAAGTTGGGGGAGGGGCTCCGTGGGCCTGAGCTCAGATTCCCTGGAAAAGGAATCAGGTCTCCTTCAGGAAGCCCTCCCGGCCTGCCTCGGCTGGGTCAGGCCTCGGCTCTGGGTTCTTACCCACACTCCCTGCCACCTTTAGTCTTTGTGGCATCCTTGATGCTGATGCCCACTAGTGCGACATTTGCCTCCCTGTCACATTGTCAGCTCTTGGAGAACAAGCACCTGACTTGTCCTGCAGCACCACACCCAGCACAGAGCCAGACATTGGTTTGGTGGTATATATATGTATTTTTTAAAGATTTATTTGAGAGAGAGAGAGAGTGTGTACGCGTGCATGCACAGGGGAGGGGGCAGAGGGAAAGAATCTCAGGCAGACTCCTTGCTGAGCGGTGAGCCCAATGTGGGGCTCGATCTTATGACTCTGAGATCATGACCTGAGCCCAAGGCAGACGCTTAACTGACTGAGCCCCCCAGGCACTCCTGTTCGGTGGTGGTCATTGAGTACCTACTATATGCAATACCCTGGTGTGGGCTCTGGGGGTATAGCAGGGAACAACAGACATCCCATCTTTGGGTACCGACCCTCTGGCACCCAGGACCTCTTTGCTGAGTTGCTCTTTGTTGCATGGACCCCCTCAAGGAGTCAACCTGCTGCCCCACCCCCGGTCTCCATCTCAACCTCTAGGGCTTCTCTTGAGCCCTTGTCAGGACTTTTTGCTGGCTGGCCAGGTTTCCGTCCAGCTCCACCTGCCCTTCAGGTTCCCTTGGTTTAAGTCTAGTCATTCTCCTGCTGAGGAACCCTCCATGGCTCCCACTTGTCTCAAAGGAGAAAACCTAACTCACTGGCCCCACCCTACTTGGCTCCCTCCAGAGCTCACGAGGCCAGATGGTTTCTCCTGACAGAGTGCCCGTCCTTCCTCACCCAGCTAGAAGGAGGCAGAGCCTTTAGGTTCCTTTGTCCCACACTCAGTGCCTTTGGAGGCCAGGTGGGTGAAGGGCGCTGGCCCCTGAAGGAAGAGGCAGCCTTTCCTCCTCTCCACCCCACTGGGGACCCGCAGGAGCCCCACATCCTGATTAATCACCAGGCCCTTCAGTGGGTTAGTAGATTACTGAGTGCTAGTTCATGCGTGAAACAGTGCTGCGCGGGCCAAAAGAAAATACAAGCAAAGCCAGATTTGGACTGTGGCGGGCAGCTAACGGCCTGTTTGACTCACCTGCCCCAGGCCCTACAGAGCCCTAATGGGAGCAATTCGTTCCGTGGAACTCTCACAGGGGACCCTGGAGGGTACCGTGAACATCCCCATTTTACAGATGGAGGAACTGAGGCTCAGAAATATGGTCATCCACCTGGAAAGGGACCAAGCCAGCAGGAAACCCATGACAACCAGTAGCGTGGCCTGTCCAAAGGGGAGAAAGCCCCGTTTCCAAAATATTAACTCTCGGGCTGTTCGGGGACATGCGTGGGAATTCTGTGAGACAGTATATCCATTACACAGTGGTCTTGACCGATGGCTTCTTTCCAGAAGTTTCTGGGACTGCCCCCGCTGGTGGGACTCCCTTCTGCTGGGGACCCTATCATTAGGGTCTCCTGTTAATGTTTCCTGGGTTCCCATGTGGGGCTGGTGGCCGCACACTCCCTACGCCCCATCTCCATCAAAGACAGCTGGGCAGCTGTTGCCCCCCTTGCGACAGGGCACGTGCCCTTGACCCGCCTCGAGACTGAATGTCAAGTGCCACTTGTAATTATACCTACCCGGCCGGCCTTTATTCAACAAACACTGATCTCCTGTTTCCTGTGGCCCCTGAGCTAAGTGCTCCACAAATATTCTTTAATCTTTGTAATAACCCCTGGGAGGTGGGCCCTGTGATTATCCTCATTTTACAGCTGAGGAAACCAAGGCACAGAGAGGTCAAATGACTTGCCCAAAGTCACATAGGCAGGGCATGGCGGAGTCAGGATTTGAACCCAGGCAGTGTGCCCTCAGTCCCTGTGCCCTCCCACCTCGCATAACAGACCCATAGTCCTCTTCATCGTGCTTTCTACTAAAAGTGAGAAAATAGGGCGCCTGGGTGGCTCAGTGGGTTAAGCCTCTGCCTTCAGCTCAGGTCATGATCTCAGGATCCTGGGATCGAGCCCCACGGGCTCCACTCTCAGCAGGGGATCTGCTTGAGATTCTCTGCCTCTCTCTCCCTCTGCCCTTCCCCCTGCTCTCTCATGCTCTCCCTCTTTTTCTCCCATACATAAACAAAACCTTTTTAGAAAGAACAAAAGATAAGTGAAAAAAGAAAATACACATTCACACGAAAACATGTATGTACATGTTCATAACAGCTTTGTTCATAATCGACAAAAAGTGGGAACAACCCCAGCGTCTGTCCACTGATGCGTGGATAAAGGGAACATGGTACATCCGGACAATGGAATATTATTCAGCTATAAAAAAGAGAACAAAGGCCTGGTATCAGTACTGATAATGGGCACTGGGCTTCTTTGGGGAAGTGTAATTGTGTCCTAAAATTGATTATAGGGGCGCCTGGGTGGCTCAGTGGGTTAAAGCTTCTGCCTTTGGCTCAGGTCATGATCTCAAGATCCTGGGATCGAGCCCTGCATCAGGCTCTCTGCTCAGCGGGGAGCCTGCTTCCTCCCTTCTCTCTCTCTCTGCCTGCCTCTCTGCCTACTTGTGATCTGTCAAATAAATAAATAAAATCTTTAAAAAAAATAAAATTGATTATAGCAACAGACACTATATACAATGACTCTTGTGAATATACAAAAAGTCATTGAGGGGTGCCTGGGTGGCTCAGTGGGTTAAAGCCTCTGCCTTCAGCTCGGGTCATGGTCTCAGGGTCCTGGAATCGGGCCCCACATCGGGCTCTCTGCTCAGTGGGGAGCCTGCTTCCCCTTCTCTCTCTGCCTGCCTCTCTGCCTACTTGTGATCTTTGTCTGTCAAATAAATAAATAAAATGTTTTTAAAAAGTCATTGAATTGGACACTTTCAGTGGGTGAGTGGGAATGATATCTCAAGAAAGCTCTAAAAAAAAAAAAGATGGGGGGCAGTTTGGGTGGCCTAGTTGGTTAAGCATCTATCTCCCTTCGGCTCAGGTTTTGATCCCAGGGTCCTGAGATTGAGCCCCACATCAGGCTCCTTGCTCAGCTGGGAGCCTGCTTCTCCATCTCCCTCTGTTCCGACCCCTCCTTGTGCTCTCTCTCTCTCTCTCTCCCCCAAATAAATAAAATCTTAAAAGAAAAAAAAAAGGGCTCAGAGAGCTGTAGTTTTTCTAGAAAGGTGAGAGAAAGTGTAACTCTGTGCAGAAAAAAGTGAAGGCTGCCCTCACACTTTAAATATTTAAAAACTTATTTTGTGACACGCTTATTTATTTTTTTTTAAAGATTTTACTTATTCATGAGAGACAGAGAAAGGCAGAGGGAGAGGGAGAAGCAGGTTCCCCGCGGAGCAGGGAGCCCAATGAGGGACTCGCTTCCAGGACCCCGGGATCATGACCTGAGCTGAAGGTGGATGCCTAACCCGACTGAGGCCCCCAGGCGTCTGGCTTATTTATTTTTTTATTGATTGATTTTTGAGGGGGATTCTTTTTTTTCTCTAAACATTTTACAAGACTTTTTTTTTCGTTTGACAGATCACAGGTAGGCAGAGAGGCAGGCAGAGAGAGAGAGAGGAGGAAGCAGGCTCCCCATTGAGCAGAGAGCCTGATGCGGGGCTCGATCCCAGGACCCTGAGATCATGACCTGAGCCGAAGGCAGAGGCTTTAACCCACTGAGCCACCCAGGCGCCCCACTTTTTTTTTCCATCCAAACACTTTATAGCGGGAATTTGCAAACATACAAGCAGGTGTAAGTGGGAAGAAGAGCTCAGGAGCCTGCCTCCCACTCTCCCGCCAGACTCCACAGCAGATTACATTTTGCCGCATTGTCTTCATGGCTCTCTCTGTAGCTGGTTTTGGTTTTGCTGACCCATTTGAGAGTATGTTGCAGACATGATGGTGCAGACACAGGAATGCTACCTGCCTAAGGTTGAACCACCATGCTTAAGAATATTTGTGAACAGGGGCACCTGGGTGACTCAGTTGTTAAGCGTCTGCCTTTAGCTCGGGTCATGATCCCAGAGTCCTGGGATCAAGCCCTGCATCAGGCTCCCTGCTCAGTAGGGAGCCTGCTTCTCCCTCTCCCACTCCCCCTGCTTGTATTCCCTCTCTTGCTATCTCTCTCTCTCTCTCTCTCTCTGTCAAATAAATAAATAGAATCTTGAAAAAAAAAAAGAAGAATATCAGCGAACATTCCAAAGCAGCCCATAATTTAGTCCAGATTCCCGTATCCCTAGTTTTCCTCAAAATATGTTTACTGGGGGCGCCTGGGTGGCTCAGTGGGTTAAAGCCTCTGCCTTCGGCTCAGGTCATGGTCTCAGGGTCCTGGGATCGAGCCCCGCATTGGGCTCTCTGCTTAGCGGGGAGCCTGCTTCCCCCCCCTCCTCTGCCTGCCTCTCTGCCTACTTGTGATCTCTATCTGTCAAATAAATAAATAAAATCTTTAAAAAAAAAATATGTTTCCTGGATGGCCCTTTTGGAATGGGGACCCCACAAAGGCTCCTGCATGGCATTTGGTGTCTGCATTTCCCAGGGGAGCCCCTCCATGATGGCCCCGACTAGCCTGGAGGTGTCTGAGTCCTTCCCCCTGCCACCAGTCTCTTTCTCTTTTCTCTCCAGGAGCCCAGGATGTCCAAGTTCGAGTGCCACCCGAGGTGCGGGGCTACCTGGGCAGCACCGTGCAGCTGCCATGCCACCTGCTGCCTCCAGGACCGGAAGTCCGAGTGTCACAGGTGACCTGGCTGCATGTAGACGCGGCCGGGGTCAGCAAGAGTGTGGCTGCCTTCCACCCCTCCTACGGCCCCAGCTTCCGCAGCCCAAAACCTGGTGAAGAGCGGCTGTCCTTTGTCACTGCCGGGCAGAGTGCAGGGACCAGGCAGGGCACCGAGATGGATCTGCGAGACGCCACGCTGGCCCTCCGGGGACTGACAGTGGACGACGAGGGCAACTACACTTGCGAGTTTGCCACCTTCCCCAGTGGCACCAGTCGGGGGGTGACCTGGCTCAAAGCCATAGGTGAGCAGTGCGGGGGGTCAGGGAACGGGAAATCCCCGCTTCAAGGATCCGTTTCTCTCTGGGCTTTAGCATGATATTGACTTTCCCTGTGGTCCTCGCTCAGTTAGCAAATACCTGTTAAGCGCCTACTGCGTGTCAGACTCTATCCTGCAAGTTGAGGACACGGCAGTTCCCAAGGCTTTCAGAAATATAGACTGAGCACCTTCTAGGTGCCAAACAGTATCCTAGGCTCTGGGCATGAAGCAGTGAATAAGGCAGAGCTCCCAGCCCTGCTGGGGCTTCTACTTCAATAAGGGGGTGCCAGAGAGTAAATAACATCATAAGAAAAATAGGAGTGGGTCAGGTGGATGTAGGCGCGTTGGAAGCCGGAGGGCGGGGGGCAGGGGGCAGGCTACAATGTTGGCTAGGGAGGCCTGGTGAAATCTGAACAAAAACTAGAAAGAGATGAGGGAGCCCTGTAGGGTTAAGTAAGGGAAGAGAATTCCAGGCAGAGGGCATGGCAAGTGCCAAGGCCCTGTGGCAGGGTGCATTTGAGGAAGAGCAAGGAAGTCAGTGTGGCCAGAGGCTTGTAAATAAAGGCAAAGTAGGAGGGGACAAGATCAAGAAGATGATGAGGGCCACAGATCACAGACAGCCTCGTGGACCACATGAAAACTTTGGCTTTTGCCCTGAGAGAACAGGAGCTATGGGAAGTTCTGATCAGGGGACAGATGTGATCTGGGTTTGGTTTTCACAGACTCCTTCTGGCTGCATGTTGGGGACGAGGGTGGAAGCTCGGGAACCACAGGGCGGGAGGTAATGGCAACTAGACCAAGGTGGAGGCCGTTGGGGTAGCAAGAAGATGTCTGGCTTTGGAGATAAGTTAGAGGTAATGCCAGGGAATAATCAAATTAGCAAACAAAAGGAATGGAAATGGAGTCCCTCATCGGGCTCTCTGCTTGGTGGGGAGCCTGCTTCCCCCTCTCTCTGCCTGCTGCTCTGCCTACTGGTGATCTCTCTCTGTCAAATAAATCAATAAAATCTTAAAAAAAAGAGAGAGAGAGAGAGAGAGAGAGGGAACACAGGCAGGGGAAGTGGGAGAGGGAGAAGCAGGCTCCCTGCTGAGCAGAGAGCCTGATGATGTGGGGCTCCATCCCAGGACCCGGGGTCATGACCTGAGCCAAAGGCAGACGCTTAATGACTGAGCCATCCAAGCGCCCCAAAGGCTTCCCTTTTTAATGGAGCCTGAAACCCCAGTTGTTTTGCATAGTTCAAAGCACAGATCTCCACCACTTGCAAAGGTCTCTCCCTGTGTCATCATGTGTTCTTTTTTTTTTTTTTAAAGAGAAAATCTTTTTTTTTAAGATTTTATTTATTTATTTGACAGACAGAGATCACAAGCAGGCAGAGAGAGAGGAGGAAGCAGGCTCCCTGCTGAGCAGAGACCCCCCCCCTCCCCGCCCCGATGCGGTGCTCGATCCCAGGACCCTGGGATCATGACCTGAGCTGAAGGCAGATGCTTTAACCCACTGAGCCACCCAGGCGCCCCATCATCATGCGTTCTGTACAATAGTTGCGTAGAGAGCACCTGCCTCTCACTAGCTATCCCCTAGGGCAGAACACGGATCAGAACAGCCAAAGCTCTGCTTTCCCAGAGTAGCAGGTGACGTGAGAGCCCCTAAAAGGGAGAGTCAGATGTCAGGGAAGTTCCCTTGAGGAAGTGAAGCCTGGATCTGGAGGAGGAGGAAGAGCAAGTCAAGGAGAAGGAAGGCCCAGACCCTTCCAGGCACACGGTCACCAACACCTTGCAGTGGGTGCTGCAGGGACTGAGGGAGGTGTGGGGCACATGCCCGGAGTGGTCAGAGGACAGGTGGCTGGGCAACCAGGGAGCATGTGGGGAGGCCCATCGGAGGCTCTGGCAGTCAGGGGAGAAAAGGAGGGAAAGGGAGGGAAGGAGGAGAGGGCTGTACCACATCGATGAACTCTGGAGAAACCCAGTGAGATCCACAAGGCACCCGGGGCCATGACGCAGAAACTCGGGACAGTCCGGTTCTACCTGTGGGTTATTCCTCATGGACGTTTTATTGTTTTCCTCCCAGTATCTTTCCATGGTTTCCAGGAAGATGGGTGAAAAGGGCAAAAAATTTCCAGCTTTGGGAAACTCCACAACCTTTATCCCACTTCCGGCACCCCCATCTCCTGGCAGTTACAGGGAAGAAGTAGGAGGTCTTTTGAGCTGGACCTTTGAACTGCATTATCCTGCTTTGGCTTTTTTTGAAGAAAAAAAAAGAAAATCTCAGGCTCTTGGATGCTGTCTCTGCTTTTCTGGCAGAGGAGGACGGACAGAATAATGTCACAGCACACACAGCATAGGGAGCGTCAGTCACCATCCCAAGGGTTTTACCTATCTGTTTAATCTACCCGACAACCCTCTGGGGTGGGCATTTTAGTTCTCCCCACTTTACAGAGGAGGAAGCTGAGGTACAGGGCTGGGAAATGGTTTGCCCAAGGCCATGCACCTGCTAAGCAGAAGAAGTGGGGTTTGAGCCCCCAGCACTTGGGGCTTCCTGGCTCAGCCCCATTGCAGAGGTGTCCGTGGAAGGACCACAGGTGAAGAGTGACGTACCCCCTCCGTTGCTCTCCCCAGCACAGCCCCAGAACCACGCCGAAACGCAGGAGGTCACGCTCAGCCTGGAACCCGTGCCTGTGGCCCGCTGTGTCTCTGAGGGTGGCCGCCCACCCGCTCGAATCTCCTGGTTCTCACCCCTGGATGGGGAGACCAAAGAGACCCAGATGTCGGGGCCCGTGCCCGGCACAGTCACTGTCACCAGCCGGTTCACGTTGGTGCCCTTGAGCCGCGCAGACGGTGTCAAGGTCACCTGCAAAGTAGAGCATGAGAGCTTCGAGGAGCCGATCCTGCTGCCTGTGACCCTCTCCGTGCGCTGTGAGTGCATTGGGCTGTGATTGCGTCCCCAGTATCGTCTACACTGGCTTCCCTAGGGTACTGTCTACACCCTCCCCGAGTGTTGTCTGCATTAGCCCCCCCCAGGCCAAAGTCGGCACCGCCTTCCTGCCTCTTGTCTATACTGGCTCCCGCGTGTCCCCTCATTGCCTCCGCTGGCTTCATGAGGCTCTCTCCTTCCCACCATGATCAGTGGGTGAGCTGGAATGGGTTCGCAAGGGCCAGTTTTATGCATTTCGTCCCAATTCCACATCCAGGGAAGTTGTAGGGACAGCTTGAAATTGACCACTGGGGAGTATTTATACCGAGGAAATTGGCAAACTGCAAAAACCGCCCACACCCACACCCCCCAGTGTTACCCCACAGAGCAGCGGGAGAGTAACTCAGCTGGCTCTTCTCCGCCTTGGCCAAACACACCCTAGCCCCCAGCTCAGCACTCTGCACGCTAGCTCCCCAGACACTGCCTTTGGTTAAACCACTTCCTTTATCTGCTCCGGGTGTGACAGGAATAACAGGCACTGCCTTCGTGGAACAGTAACTCCCTCCAGATGACCCAGGTGGCATCCCTGGACGGAGACATAGCCGGAACTGATTTGTCCCACTTGGGACATAGGTCTGCCTCCTGCCAACCCAGTTCATTTCTTCAGGATTTCCATCTCTCTGCTGACCTCTCCCCTCTTCTGGGAGTCTCCCTGTCCCTGAGCTAGTTCCCCTATTTCCTCCAGACCCCCCTGAGGTCTCCATCTCCGGCTACGACGACAACTGGTACCTAGGCCGCAGCGAGGCCACCCTGAGCTGTGACGTCCGCAGCAAACCAGAGCCCACAGGCTATGACTGGAGCACGTGAGTCCTGGGTGGACCTGGGCCCCTGGGTCCTTGGTCTGAGGGAGTCAGGTCCTGAGTCTGAGGAGGGGCCGGGGTCTGGACCCCTGAGTCTGAGGGAGGAGGGGCTAGGGGCCTTAGGCTCCTGGGTCTGAGGGAGAAGGGGCTGGGGGTCTGGACTCCTGGGTCTGAAAGAAGAGGCAGCTGGGGGTCTGGACCCCTGGATCTGAGGGAAGTGCATCAGGGACCTGAGCCCATGAGTTCTCCAGGAGAGCGGTGGCCGTGTAGGGTCCTGAGCATTAGCATTTATGTCCCTGGAGCTTGGATCTTGAAGGCTGTGTCATCAGGGACCAGGCCTGTGCTCCCCTGATGTCCCCCTCCGGTGACCCCTGCACCTTCCAGGACAGCAGGCATCTTCCCAGCCTCAGCAATAGCCCAGGGCCCCCAGCTGATCATCCACTCAGTGGACAGACTGGTCAACACCACATTCATCTGCACAGTCACCAACGCCGTGGGCACGGGTCGTGCTGAACAGGTGGTCCTCGTGCGAGGTGAGCAGGTCTTGGAGGTGGTCCGCTCCCCAAGTGTTTCTCCCTTTGGGGTTCCGGGGCCGCGTTGAGGGAGGCTGTGCCGCCGGCCTGGGGAAAGATTCAGACCCGCCTTGCCAATGAGAAAGGAGGTCCGTGTGGCTTTTCTGTCTTGTCCCCACGTGGGATCTGGATCGGGACGACAGGATAGGCACTGGAGGAAGAATCAGGAGGATGAGGCCTCTGCTGGGGGCTTTCTAGAAACTAGAGACCTGGAAAGAGATTCCAGGAGGAGACCCAGAGGCATCGCCCTGGGATCCAGTTGGAGAGACACATGTCACACAGCTAGACAGACACAAACAGACGCATTTGAATACTGATTTCTTACCGTGAGTGCTAGTCAAGTCACATCAGGAAATCAGTTTTCGCGTGTGTTGGAGGATTTGTGTTTCTAGAGGGTGTTTTGGAAATGGCGGCCGATGTGTCTCTGGGTCGAAAGTTCTCGTCAGTCTCCCTGATAATGACCTCAAACTCAGATGGGCCCCAAGACAGGAGCAGAAAAGAACAAGGCCAACTAGGCCTGAGGCACTGGCAGATGGAAATGGGGTAGGAATCACAACTGTAGACGGGGAGGGAGGCCATGTGCCCCGAGACACAGACACGGGGTCCCCTGAGCTGGGAACAGAGGCCCTTTCATGTCTTAGTAAGCAGGACCCACATCTCCAGAGACATACTCTGCCCTGAGATGGCCTCAGAATCAAAACAGAAACCCATCTAAAACAACCCGCACACTCAGACCCACCGTCACCAAGACATGCACCCCACAAGAGCAGAGGCATACACCAAACAAAGCCAGGCGACCCCAGCCCAGAGTCCCCCAGGATGCCACGTGTACCATTCTTAGAAACACCCTCCCGGCACACCCATTCATGCAGCACACCTGTGCAAACACACAACACAGGGAATAGTGCCTTGGTGGGTCCGGGGGCGGGGCGGTGTGCTCAGAAACATGACCAAAGACAGACACACATAAATGTGAGGACACATAAGTGTGAGTACCCCCACACACCTGGAGACAGGCGCCACGGCCAGACACAGAAACGGATCCCTTTCCTGAGACATAATCTCATACCACACACACACACACACACACACACACACACAAACACGCACACCCCTAGAAACAAATGGAAACAGATCCCTCTCAGGAATTCTGACATGCACCATAGATACACGGCGCCCCCGCTCAGACCCACTGTCCCAGGAAGTTATACTGTCCCAGACACTATCACGCAGATATGCCCACCATGGGGAGAAACCCCAACAGTTTCACATGCAGAAACTGTCCCTCTCGCACAGATACTGACAAAGAACCTCAGAGACGTTCCCTGAGGCGCACGCCCTCAGAAACTCCCCAGAAACCCTGCTGCTTTCAACACATCGTCATCTCACAAATATTTGTTGAGAGTTCCTTTTTGCCAGCATCCCCCTTGATGTTGGGGAGACAGTGGTGAACTAGACTCAGCCCCGCCCTGGAAGACACACCCAGGGGAGGGCCGGCTCCGCCCACCCCACCAAGGCCCTACTGGAAAGCCTGCCCCTGAACCTCTACCCCAGATCCACACCCGAGAACCTGGTCTCCCCAGGCACAGTAATCAGGACACCCCTGTAAGGGGCGGAGCCTTGAAAATACAGATGCAGTCATACCTGAGGGTCACTGAAGGAATACACACCCACAAACATGCGATCACCCCCCACAGTCCCTTAAAACACACAGAAATCCCAGGGACGTCCCCTGCCGGAAACCACCCCCTCCAAGAGAACACACCAGCCTCAAAGTTAAGCCCTTCACACTCACCCTGCAGGGAGAGACTCAGCCCTGTGGGAAGACACCCCGTCTCCGCAGGGAGCCCGATGCGGGACATGATCCCAGGACCCCGGGATCCTGACCCAAGCGGAGGGCAGATGCCCAACCGACTGAGCCCCCCCAGGCGCCCCTCACTCTCAGCCCTTGAGTCGCATCTAGAGGGTCTCAGGGTCACCTTGCACTCCCGCACACGCCCAGACCCAGACGTGCGGTTACAGCCACGCCGTTCTGGGTTCGCGTAAGCACAACGGTAGGCACACAGGCTGTGCCACAGGCGAGACGGTGCCTCGGGGAGACGGGAGAACTTTTGACCCACAGACTCATGAACACACCCACCCGCTCCAAAATACCACCTGCAGAAACCCAGATAAACATTCCATCCTGCGCCGAAACAGGTTCCTGGACGTCACTGATGGGCGTTCTCAGTAAGAAAACTGTTGCACGCCTCTAACCAGTGTACCAGTATAGAGGATATGGCAGACAAAAAAAAAAAAAAAAAGTTTCACAAGATAGTACTTATCATTCCTACTTGGGAGACACTTTTTCTAGTCTACTTTTTTTTTTTTTTTTTTAACTGCTCCTTATGAATTGCTAAATGGGTTTGACAGCTCACGGTTGGGGCTCTATTTGAAAATGCCACTTTTTTTTTTTTTTTTTTTTTTTTTGGACACAGAGAGATCACAAGTAGGCAGAGAGGCAGGCAGAGAGAGGGGGAAACAGGCTCCCTTTGAGCAGAGAGCCTCATGTGGGGCTCCATCCCAGGACCCTGAGATCATGACCTGAGCGGAAGGCAGAGGCTTAACCCACTGAGCCACCCAGGTGTCCCTGAAAATGCCGCTCTTAAAAGAAACACCCGGAGAAACAGGGGCCCTCGGGAGCCTGGGTCCCAGCCCCTCCTATGTGCAGGGTGTGGGTAAGAGGGGTTTAGGTTTAAGTGGGTTCCCCACCCCCTGATTTCTCCCCATCTGCAGCCCTGCATGCAGGGGTGGGGGAAGGGGCATGTGTAAAATGGTTCTAGGTTTAAACTGTATCAATGTCTATTCCTGGTGTGGGGCCTAGACCCCGGACCCCTTGTCCCTGCCCCCCTCCTGCACTCTTAGCAGTCCCTGGCTTCCTTCTCCACTTCCAGACCCTTCCCCTCCCAGCTGCTGGCCCACTGCCAGGAACACTAGCCCAGTTCGAGACAGTGGGCTTTATGAGCCCCCATGTTCCACAATTGGGGACATGGCCCAGCCAGGAGGCAGGCCACATGGCCTAGACCAGGTGCTCCCAGCCACTTCCAAGGGGTACAGGGTTTCTCAGGAGCACCCTCCCCCTTCTTTCCTCCTTCTCTCAAGTCCACCGGGCTTTGGAATCTGACAGTCTTTTTTTTTTTTTTTTTTAAGATTTTTTTTTTTTTTTTTTTAGAGAGAGATCACAAGTAGGCAGAGAGGCAGGCAGAGAGAGAGGAAGAAGCAGGCTCCCCACTGAGCAGAGAGCCCGATGCGGGGCTCGATCCCAGGACCCTGAGATTATGACCTGAGCCGAAGGCAGCGGCTTAACCCGCTGAGCCACCCAGGCGCCCTGGAATCTGACAGTCTTGACCCCCAATCCAGCTCGGCCTTTTCCTGGCTCAATCCACCCAAGATTCCATGACCCTAACCTCAGAGCTTTTGTGAGGATCCCCCCTGTCCAGGCCTGTCCAAAGCAGGTCGCAAACTCAGATGCCTCTGGGGTCCTGGCCAGTGACCCTGTGGCTGGGCGCGGAACCCCTGTTCCGACCCTCGCAGCCGCCTTCACACAGCTACTGCCCTTTGCCGGGCAGAGACGAGAACTTGCTGTGGCCTGATCTGAGTTTCTTTTTCCCTAAAAGAAATCTGGATTTTTTTGGGGGGGGTGGGAGGTGAAATCACCTAGTTTCTGCAATGTTAGCAAGTTTAATTTTTGAAAAACCCTGTGCAGGTATCAGGAAACACATCTGGGGGCCACCAGTTGGCAACCCCCCTCACACCCCCATCCAAAGTGCCCAGTGTGTGTAGCCCAGAGTGGACAGGTTCTACCTTCCCTCCACCTCGCCTGTCTTCTGCCCAGAGTCACCTCCCCAATTTTCCCGTCGCTGCCCCTATTGTGTCCTCTGCCCCCCGACCCCCCACCACAGATGTGTCCTCTTGACCTCGTGTCTCCCTTTTCTCTCTCTCTCTCACCCCTCCTTCTCTCTCCTCAGACACACCCCGGGCCTCGCCCCGAGACGTGGGTCCAGTGGTGTGGGGGGCCGTGGGGGGGACACTGCTGGTGCTACTACTTCTGGCTGGGGGGTCCTTGGCCTTCATCTTGCTGAGGGTGAGGAGGAGGAGGAAGAGCCCTGGAGGAGGAGGAGGAGGAGGAGAGAGCAGTGGAGGAGGAGCCTACGATCCAAAAACTCAGGTGTTTGGGAATGGGGGCCCCGTCTTCTGGACGCCAGCCGCCCCTGGCCCCCTGAAGCCGGATGGCAAAGAGGAGGAGGACGAGGAGGAAGAGGAGGAGAAGGCAGAGGAAGGTCTCATGTTGCCTCCACCCAAGGCTCTCGAGGACGACATGGAGTCCCAGCTGGACGGCTCCCTCATTTCACGGCGGGCAATTTACGTGTGACCCCGAGACAGACAGAGACAGAGACAGAGACACAGCCAGCCACACCAGCCAAAGGGTTCCAGACTGGTTGGACTCGTTTTTCTGGACGACACTGGAGCTCAGATGCCACCTCCCACTTCCCGGGGTTTGGGAGGGAGCTGGAATCACACACTGGACTTCTGTCTCCAGGGCTGCATGGGGAAGGGGAGGCCCCGGGGGAGCTCGGTCATGGGGACCTAGAGAGGAACCCCCCCCAACACACACACAGAGAACTTGTTTTTGGCTCTGACCTGCCCCGGCCCCATGACGCTCAGGAGTTAATAAACGCCTTGGAGGAAAACATCGGGGGTGTCTTGTAATACGTCAGACCCCCTCACTGGGGGTGGGACAGGGACTACTAGGTCCCGGGGGTGGGAGCCTGATGGGGACTAGACTTCGGGGGCCAAGGGAGGGGAGGGGGGCTCTGACTACTTGGATTGTTCAAGGACATACTGGATGCCTGAGACCCCTCAAGGCCAGTGCTACCCGGAATGTGGGTCGCTGGCTTCTGGGCTCAGAGGCTAGGAAAGTTGGACTTGAGGGGGTTCTCCAGGACTGTGGCTGCCTTTCTGCCAGGGGTGGGGGTGGGGAGAATAGCCAAACTGGTGAGAGCCCAGAGCTCCCCAGAACAGACAGGGAACCTGGACTGGTTTGCCCTTGTGGGGAGGGGCCAGAGCTCAAACTTGACCTTCTGCGGTTGCTGAGGATCTCAGGAGGGAGGGAGGCCCCCTTTGTTCTCTGGGCCCTGAGGATACGGGGCAGGTGGAGGTATTAAAGGAACCAGAAAAGTCCCATCTTGATGACACTGAACCGTGGCCTTTCTCAGCCTTCTTCCTCTTGTCCAGGTCGCAACGGGTTTTCAGTGATTCCAAGGGAGGAGCTGCAGCTCTGTATCCCTCTCCCCGCTCCTCCAACTAGGAGGAGCCTGGGAAAGGTGGGAGAGTGGGAGGGGCCAGGTTCGGTCCCAGTCACCTCTGCTGTCCCGAGCCCCGCCGCGGAGGATGCGCCCGGAATGCCCGCACTGAGCCGCCAGGTGGGGCTTGGGGCGTCCATTTCCCACCAGTATTGATTTCCACTTACTCTGCCAGGGACACAGAGGTGACTCAGGCAGACATAGCCCCGCCCTCCCACATCCCACCTCCCCACCGGGCGCGCCGGCAATAAAAACAGGAATAACAGTACTTTCAGGATGGCACTGTGTGGACTGAGTGAGCAGCAGTTACCATCATCCCGCCAGCTCTGAAGCCCTCCCGAGGCCGCCAGGCTGCGGAGCAGGAAGTTGTGGAAATGCGACCCAGACATTCTTCCTCTGGGCAACTGAGCAATGGGGCTGACGAGGGTGGAGCCTGTGGGCGGGGCTTGCGAACATGTGCAGTTTCCTCTGGTTGTTTATGGTCTTGTCCCCCACCTCGGGTCCCCCATGCCTCCTCCCCAAAATGGGAATTTGGACAGTCTGGCATGGGGTGGATCCTGAAGCGCCGGTCCCCTTCACGCACATCTGGCAAACACCAACCAGGTGCCAGACCGTGCCCCTTGGAGCTCGCAGTGGCCGTGGAAACTGACAAGTAAACAGGTGACATCAGGGACAGAGAAGGACTCCAACCGAGAGACCCAGGGGGGCATAGCTTCTCTCGATTCCTTCTCCTGTTAGGTTGGCAGAACCACATCCCCTGCCCAGGGTGACTCCATTCCCTGTAATGAATTAAGGGTTCTGATCCCGATTCCAGAATACCCACCATTCTGCGTCTCTTAGCTCTGCTGGGTCACCTCCCTTCCCTCCTCCCCCCACCCCATCTTCTCTGGCCCTGTGGTGGTCTTGCTGCTCCTTCAAAGTAACACAAGGCTTCTTCCTCAGGGCTTTTGCACTGGCTGTTTTCCTCTGCCTGGAATGTTCTCATTTCCTCCTGGCTCACCCCCTACCGTCCCTTCAGGCCTTTGCTCAAATGTCGCCCCATAGTAAGTCTCTCTCTGATGACCCTTGGGGTCCCCCGCTCTGTCATTTCCTTACCACCTTCCCCACTCTGTGTTTGTTTTTACCCTCAATCCCTTACTGCCACCTGGCGTGTTAGCTGTTGTGTTCGTCTCTGTGCCCTTGGTCTCCCTACCCAGCTAAAACAGATGTTCCTGTGGGAACAGGGACTTGCAGATGTTTTATTCGACGCTGGCACGCAACAAATGCTCAGTAAGAACCAGGGAGAGGAGGCAGGCAGGTGGGTGATGACTTACAGAATAAGGAGCTGTGGCTTTCTCCTGGAGACCCCCTGACACTGTCCCTCTTCTTGCAGAGACCCCCAACACAGCAGGCGCAGGGGCCACGGGTGGCATCATTGGGGGCATCATTGCTGCCATCATTGCTACCGCTGTGGTCGCCACAGGCATCCTCATCTGTCGGCAGCAGCGGAAAGAGCAGAGGCTACAGGGGGCAGAGGAGGAGGATGAGTGAGTGATGGGCCCCAAGAACTGGGTGGAGGAGGGGTCCCAGAATCTGGGAACCCAAGGGGTGGGGCGAGGGGAGCGACCCCAGATCACTGTGACTTAAGTGGGGTGGAGAGGAGAGTTTCTTTCTGTCTCCTGTAAAGTGTGGGTATGACAGCTCTGCTCTGTGATGTCATCAGAGCCCAGGCTCCTGCCACCTTCTTCAACCTTCCCTTCCCTAAGCATTCCAAGATGGCTTCCCATTCTTCTAGCACTGTCTATATACTTGACAACCAGATACAGCCTCCTGACCTCAAAGCCCCTATTCCTGCCTGGGGGAAAGACAAATAGAGGGCAGTGACCTGCCCTATAAGGGAACCCATCACTTTGCCTCACTTTCCATCAGCCAGAACCTGTTCACATGGTATATCAGCTTCAGGGGAAGCTGGGAAATGTAGTCTTTACCCAGGGCGGCCATGTGCCCTGCTAAAATCTCAATCTGAGGGGTTCCTGGGTGGCTCAGTGGGTTAAAGCCTCTGCCTTCAGCTCAGGTCATGATCTCAGGGTCCTGGGATCGAGCCCCGCGTCAGGTTCTCCCTGCTCGGCAGGGAGCCTGCTTCCCCCTCTCTCTCTGCCTGCCTCTCTACTTGTGATCTCTCTCTGTCAAATAAATAAATAAAATCTTTAAAAAAAAATAAATAAAATAAAATCTCAATCTGAGAATGGGAGTGCCTGGATATTGGAAGAGAACTAACCACACTTCTCTGTGCAGAGCACTTGTTATGTGCCAGGCTTGGTGAAATGCATTTTATGTGTGTGACCTCAATGAGGCCTCACATGTGTTCATTGATTCAGTGAATATTAAGAAAGTAACCATTCAGGGCCAGATGCCAGAGGTTAGGAATGCAATGATGAGGCAAACATTTTTTAAAAGTGTTTACACACGTAAATACATCACAGAAACGAAATTCTCATAGGGAACCCATGATACCCTCTTCGAAGAGGAAACAGGTCCAGAGAGCCAGAATCACTTGCTGAAGTTCTTCCAACAAGTGAGCATTTTGGGACCAAAATGATTCTGAAGTAATAGTCCAGGGTGTGTGTGTGTGTGTAGTAAGGGTAGGGACACTTGTTAAAAATGTAGATTCCTGGGCTTACACTAAACCTACTGAATCAGAACTTTTTTTTTTTTTTAAGATTTTATTTATTTATTTATTTGACAGAGACAGAGAGAGTGAGAGAGGGAACATAAGCAGGGGAAGCAGGAGAGGGAGAAGCAGGCTTCCTGGGGAGCAGGGAACCCGATGTGGGGCTCAATCCCAGGACCCCAGGATCATGACCTGAGCCAAAGGCAGACGCTTAATGACTGAGTCACCCAGGTGCCCCTGAATCAGAACTTTTGCAGGAAGGGCTTGAAATCTGTAGCTCCCTGAGTGATTCTGATTCACAAGGAAGTTTCTGCAGCTTTCATTTATTCATCCATTTTTTTAAACAAAGATTTACTTATCTGAGAGAGAGAGAACATGAGCAGGAGGGGCAGAGGGAGAGGGAAAATCCCAGACTCCACACTGAGCACAGACCCCCACACAGGACTTGATCCCACAACTCCAAGATCATGATCCAAGCCAAAACCAAGAGCTGGACGGTTATCCAGCTGTACCACCCAGGCACCCCTCATTCATTTTTTAAACAAATACTTTCTGACTTCCTCACAGGGAGTTCTGAGAACACTGTTGAGGACACAGATCTCATTCTTTCCTCACTTTGCTCACAGTGGCATAGTTATTGAATGATATCAGAAATAATGTTTCAAATACAAACTCCATAAGTGCCCCAAGAGAGAAGAACAGCTAGATAGAACCATATATCAGGAGTCCCTAATCCTCCTGGAGAATCAGGGAGGCTTCCTGGAAGAAGAGAAATTCATGGGATGAATAAGAGTTAGCTGGGCAAGGGGGGCTGTTGGGGAGGGGGGCAGCAGAGAGATCGGGCAGAGGGAAGGGCATCTGCAGTGATCCTGGGATAGGAGGGCTTCTCGGGTCTGAGACTCCACTTGACCTTCCTCCTACCCAACAGTCTGGAAGGGCCTCCCTCATACAAGCCACCAACCCCCAAGGCGAAGCTGGAGGAGCCTGAGATGGTAAGCACTTCCCCAGGAGCCCAAGCTGCCCCCACCTCCACACCCGCACCTTTTCCCACTGAGGCCAGGGATAGGAGGGTGGACTTCTGGGGAGAGGCCAGCTGTGAGAGGGTCCTGACCTGCCCCTCTTTCTTCCTTGCAGCCCTCCCAGCTTTTCACTCTTGGGGCCTCAGAGCACAGCCCACTCAAGACCCCCTACTTTGATGCTGGCGTCTCATGTGCTGAGCAGGTGGGAATTCAGGGAGGGTTCGGGGTTTGGGCTTAAGGGCCAGGGATCAGCTTCTGACATAAAAGGTCCATCACTAAAGGTCACAACTCAAGGCCAGTGCTGTATCTCTACTCAGAGCTTAGAGCAGGGAGATATGTTTGGGATTCAGTGGGGGAGGTCATGGTTGAAAAAGTCCAAGGACATGAGGTTAAAGTCACTTAGTGAAGACTGGTTGAACATCTACATTTGCCAGATACCGTGCCTGGAGATGAGACAAAACCAATTGTCATTCCCCTCTGTGGTCTCTTGGATGTCAGGGGTCAGATACTGAAGCTGAGACAAATGAAGGTTTAAGGAGCTCTTCAGGGCTTAAGTTTAAGTAGTTGAGGTCAAGATTGAAGTCAAAGCTTCATGGAGAAAGTCTTGTGGTCAGCGATCAAAAGACAAAGGAGAGGCCCAGGACTGACAGGCTCTGGGCTTTAAGCTGGAGACAAGCCATATGATTGCTCCAGTGCAATTTCCACCCAGCCGAACAAGGGATGAAGTCAGGACTGGCTGGCATAAAGAGATGGTCAGGATTTGGGGGGTCAAAGGGCAGGCTGGGATTCTGTATACTGCACAGGAGATGACCTTGGACTCTTTTTCCCTCCCTGCCCCCAGGATATGCCTCGATACCATGAGCTGCCCACCTTGGAAGAACGGTCAGGGCCCCTGCTCCTTGGGGCCACGGGCCTGGGTTCCCCCATCCTGGTGCCTCCTGGGCCACCTGTCATGGAGGGGGTTTCCCTGGACTTAGAGGATGATGATGAGGAGGAGGAAGACTATCTAGATAAAATCAACCCCATCTATGATGCCCTGTCCTACTCCAGCCCCTCTGATTCCTACCAGAGCAAAGGCTTTGTCATGTCCCGGGCCATGTATGTGTGAGCTGCCATGGCCCTGGCCTCTCACCTCTCACTTTTGAGCCCTTCACTTTCTGGGATCTAGATCAGGGATCTAGTGCTCCCTGACCTCTGGCCAGGCCATGGTCAGTTAACACACAAAAATGCATCTCATCTGTGACTTCTGCCTTGGTGGCTCCACTATGACCTCTAATCCATGATCTCTGACCCAGAGAAACTGGCCATGACAACAGAAACCTGGTAACCTTATCTCACATGGGGGCGGGGGAGTATGTTTCTGCACAACCTCTGACCCAAGGTCTCCTAAGACTGTGACCTTAGATCATACCTCTCATGTCCCATCATCTCCGGACTCCCCCCAAATCCCAAAGAAGACCCCAGACCTCCGAGTTGTCCTCAGGCAGTAAAATCCCAATAGTTCTGCTGGGGTAGGTGTTGGGGGTACCCTGCTGCTCAGACCTGAGCCCTCCAGGCAGCAGAGCACCACTCACCCCCTCCCTACCCTGTCTGTTCCCCAAAGACAAGAGGGAAGGGATCCCCCACCCCAAGGCAGAGCTTCCCCATCTCCTCCCTCCTGCAGGCAGGAGTCTCAGGGTCCAGACCCTTCCCTGAGCCCCCACTACCCCAATTCCTGTCTACAGGGAATTAAGCCTCATCCCAGGACTAGATGGGTTAGGTTTCATGCGGTGTGCCTTTCCGGCCCCAGCCTTGGAAGAAGTTGCTGTTACTTTGAAGACTACTGAGTCCTTTTACTCTTCCCAGTGGGATGGGACCCAAACATCTCCCAGCAGGGAGACTGGCCGGGGCGGGGGCGGGGGGTGGATGCTAGGGATATAATACTGTTTTTGTAATACAGCATTTCCTACAAAATCTGAGTTTATACTTTGACCAGATGTCAACTTGTTTTCTGTGGGATGTGAAGGGGATGGGAGTGGGACATGAGAAACAAATAGGGCACCTAGAGCTGAAGGAAATCAGGAGGCTAGAAGTCAAGATGGGTTACAGGCAAAAAACAAAAGGCCCAAAGATATTTTAAAAATAATAATAATTAAGTGAGGGGATAATGAGCGAAAACGCGTAAACCCAAAACGTAATGATGGGTAACAGAAGGAGAGGGGGAGGAGTCCAGGGCAGGGTGGTTGACAAGGAACGGCAGTCTAATGGGTGACGGACGGAAATGAACGGAACAAAGATAGAAATGGCAGTAATTCCGTCTGAGGGACTCAGGTTTAAAGGATAAGTGGCAAGTAAGTATAGGCCAAAGGCAAAATTACGAATAATGTAATAGCAGCTCAGGGCATTATGGGTAATAGAACCGAATGAGTGAGCCAAAGGCAGAGGGATAATAGAGAAACAGGGCCGGCAGGCATGATGGGTAATGGACCCAAAACATGATGGCTAATTAAAGAAGCGCTAGAAGGATGATGAAAGTGAACAGGCAGAAATGGGCTAAAGGTAGTTCAGGAAATGAAGCTGAAATGAATGGCGCAGAGGCATGCTGGGTAATAGGACAGGAATGAATGGGCCAAAGATAGAAGCCGCAGTGACGCAAGTGGAGGCGGAGAGCAGAAGGCATGATGGGTAACAGAAGGGGTGGGTCTACGACAACTGTCGCGTTAAATAGCTAAGGGGCATTGTGGGTAAGAAGAAGCAGGACAGCGTTCACGTAACCGGTTAGAATTCTCCCGAGGCACTGTGGGAAGGTCCAGCACTTCCGGTCTTCGGTCGCCGGCTCTGGACTAGGGGCCTGCCGCTCTGCCGCGGTGCCTGGTGGGACGAGGGGCCTGACCTTGCTGCCTAGCCCCCTCTGCCGCGCAACGCATCTTTACCCGTGTCCCTCGACCCTGGCATATTAGCCAATGAACGTACCAGACCGATTACGTCACCAGGATCGGCCTCCTGTACCCGCCAGAGCCAATCAGAATGCTTCAAGGATCCAAGCTGACCAATTACAGTGGCAATATTGCCGCGGGGCGGAGTCGAAAGAAGGGACGCCCTCTGGAGAGGGGCGGAGGCGACGAGTCAGTGGGCGTTTCAAAGTGCGCAGCGCAGACCAATGGCGGGAGAACACTGGAACCCGCGGCGTTGCGAGCCAATAGATGCGGTCTCTGCGGGCCAATTGGAAAGGCGGGGAAGTGTGCCTTGACCGGCCTGTGAGGGAGCCAATAGAAAAGGACGTCCCAAAGAGGTGGGGTGGGACTCCCAGCCATGACTCCAATTGCAAGGCCAAGCCTTGAAGCCAGTGGGCGGATCCCAGAGCGTGCCGAACCAATGGGTTAGGCGGGGTGGGGCAACGGTGGGGGTGGCGGCAGCAGCGGGTTCGGTTGCGCGTGGCGCACGGGGTGGGAGCGGAGCCCAGGCCGGGTGCAGGCGCTGCCGCCAGTGAGAACCGGGGCCCGGAGCTGAGCGGGGTTTGGCTGGGACTGGAACCGGAGCGCGCGGAACCTGACCTTCGCCCTCTGACCTTTCCCCCTTGCAGGCGACCATGGGGAACGTCTTGGCCGCTAGCTCGCCGCCCGCAGGGCCGCCGCCGCCTCCCGCGCCCGCCCTCGTGGGACTGCCGCCGCCTCCGCCTTCTCCTCCCGGCTTCACGCTACCGCCGCTCGGCGGCGGTCTGGGTGCTGGGGCTGGCGCGGGTCGAGGTTCGGAACGGACCCCCGGTGCTGCGGCCGGCAGCGCCGCAGGGACCGCGGACGATGGGGCCTGCGGCTGCCTGCCCAACCCCGGCACGTTCGAGGAGTGCCACCGGAAGTGCAAGGGTGAGGGGCGACAGACCTGGCGGGGGTGTGAGGGCCCGGATCTCGGGGGGGAGGGAGAGCACTTAGAGGACCTTGGGAATTGGCACCGACCATTGGAAACATGTAACAGAGCGTTAGGCGTTGACGTTAGGATCGAATGGTGGAACGTTGGACTTGGGACATAGAACGATGGGATCGGATGGTGGAACCTCAGGATGAAGTGCCAGAGCTGCAGAGCAAAGCGCTGGAGACTTCAGGGAACCCCGGGGATTAGCCAAGCCAGCCTTCTTATGTGATCGAGAAGGAAACTGAGACCCAAGGTCACAGTGTCAGCAAGGGTCCAGTGCCGGGGCCGGGGTTGGGGGGGTGAACCCAAGACTTCTGGATCTTGGAACAATTATGATAGCAGAAGTAGAGATGACTTATTGAGCAGTGTTCTGGCATTCAGTATATGTTAACTCATTAAATCCTTGCAATGTTTCCATGTGGTGAGCTTACACATGACATCTTACAGGGGACAAGTTTAACATAGAGAGTTAAAGTGACTTGCCTTGGGTCACCTGGGTAGTAAGCGGTGGCACTGGGATTTGGATGCAGGCAAAGAAAGGCCCTGGTTCTGGTCCTGGTCCTGAGTATTAGCTTAGACTGTCTTTTTATTGGTTGGGTGCTTTGTGGGATGTTTTGCTTGTGGGTCCCTGGAAGGAGGAGAGCTGGGATGGTAGGGAAGGAAGTGATGAGAGTTGGCGTGTTTGCCTTGGGGTGTGTGTGGAGAGTGACAGCATTTCTCTTCTTCAGAGCTATTTCCCATTCAGATGGAAGGTGTCAAGCTCACAGTCAACAAAGGGTTGAGTAACCATTTCCAGGTGAGCCTTCCGGGTGCCCGTACTCTCCAGAGGTCATCCTAGCCATCTCCCTGCACCTACACATACAACCTCAATCCCCCTTAAAGGGCTAGGCTCTTTGGCACCTGAAAAGACTCAGAGACAATGCCAGTCTGACTGCTCATTGGGTCCAGTGGAAGTGTTTAGGACCCAGAACCCAGGGATGCCCCTCCACCAGGCAGGAGTGAAGTACGGGTAGGTAGCCTTGTCTCCAGCTTATCTTTTCTTCGAGCGTCTAATCTAGTCAGGCTGAACCTCCCATTCTTACCCCCTGCCCTACCCAGAGCTGCCTTTCTCCACGGTGGGGAAGCCAGGTTGGCAAGTATCCCCATCCTAGGCTGGAAGGGAGCTTTGCTGGGGGCAGGTTCATTTGGGCTTATTGGGGGGTGGCCCACAGACTCCTCCCCACAGCCTTCCCTCCTCCCCCAGGTGAACCACACAGTAGCCCTCAGCACAATTGGGGAGTCCAACTACCACTTCGGGGTCACGTACGTGGGAACAAAGCAGCTGAGTCCCACAGAGGTGAGGTTCCTTTTGACATTTGTTCATTGTATCTTCTTCTAACCAATATGTAGCCAAGCACCAGGCAGAGAAAAGGTTGAGCTGCTAGGGGTGTTGGGAAGTGGGGACTGTTTCTCGAAAATGCTTTGGAGCATGGTCACTCTCATCCTGAAGCACCGCTCTCTGCCCAGCCCTGTGCTGGGTCAGAGCTGGGTTCACCAGACCGGGATGACCCAGAGTGGGCGGGGCTGAACTGTAGATCAGGCAGGGCTTTGAATACCAAACAGGGCATTTGGACTTTCTCTAGGGGGCAGTGGAGAGCCATGGAAACATTTGGACCGGGAAAGGCATGACCAGATTTATGCGCTAGGACCATCCCTCAGGCTGCCATGCAGAGGCTGTTAGGGAATGCAGGTGAAACCAGAGGTGTGGAAGGAGACGGGACTGAATTAGATCTCTGCTTATACCAACTATTGCCATTCAGTAAATTCGTTTATTCCACAAGCCTTCATTGTACTCCATTCTGTGCCCAGCCCTGTGCTGGGCAGTGTGGGGACAGAGCAGTGGCTGAAACGGCCCTGGGGTTCACAGTCTAGTAGTGAAAGGGAACAGACCTGTCCCCAGAGAGTGACAGTCCAGGGTAACCAGGACTGAAATGCGTGGGGTCGGGGGGAGCCCAGAGAGGCACCTGACTAAGCCTAGGTGATCAAGGAGGGCTTCCTGGAGGAGGGGACCTTAGTCTGAGGTTTTCTGACGCTAGGCTTCTCACCTAGGGTCAGCACACAGTAGCGTTTTGATAATGCTAGGCCTCTGACTTCTGACATTGCCTCTGTGCCACAGGCATTCCCCGTGCTGGTGGGTGACATGGACAACAGCGGCAGCCTCAACGCTCAGGTCATTCACCAGCTGGGCCCTGGCCTCCGGTCCAAGATGGCCATCCAGGTGAGTGGGAGCCAAGTCAGCTGCTCCCCACGCCGCCCCGAGCACCCAGCAGCCCTCTACACTCTCCCTCCCCCACTACAGACCCAGCAGTCAAAGTTCGTGAACTGGCAGGTGGACGGGGAGTACCGGGGTTCAGACTTCACAGCAGCCGTCACTCTGGGGAATCCAGACGTCCTGGTGGGTTCAGGTAAGAGGCACAGGGCATGGAGGGAGTCTGGTCTCATTCCAGCTTTCCCGGCGAATCCATTCCCTTCTCCAGACCTCCTTTTCTACCATCTAGAAACGGTCAGGGGCAGGAGTGATTTTGAAACACTGGGCAGGATAGCACGGGGACCAAGCAAGTCGGTTTCAAAGCTAGCTCTAGCCCCTGGCTTCACGGCAGCTGTATGCGAGTGCCCTCGCCCCCGGGGGGCCTTGGTTTCCTTGTCTGTGATGTTGGGCTACCTCACTAGGCTGTTGGAACAGGTTACTTACGTTCTTTTGTGTGACAGACTTCAGGGGGCAGGGGGCCTGTAACGGGTCCCAGGGGAATGTGGGCTACTTCTGTTACTTGTGGGGCTCTGGGGTGCTTTCAGTGCAGGGATCCCTGGGGTTGGGTGGTGGGGGTCCATGTGCAGTTCGGGCAGGTAGTCTGAGTCCAAGACGGAAGCTGACAAGGAAAGTTCCTGTTTGGGTTGGTGTAGACAGGGACCGCCTGACTTGCGCCTGTCCGTCTAGTCTCTTCTTGGTTCCCCTTTTTTGTTTTTTGTTTTTTTTGGGGGGGGGTGGTTCTCTGGCTGTTTGTCTTTGATTTCTCGACATTCAGCATGAGAGTTGCTGGGGCGTG